AAGTTCTTTCTGTTGGCTGTAGTCGATTAAATGCCCGAAATCTATTTTTCATCGTCATCGAAATGCGAAGCTGCATTAGCGGCATCCTGGGCGCCGTTGCCAAGGCCGATGATCCCCTCTTAGAATTAAACATGGTAATGACAGCAGAGTACGCGGGGGGAGATAATTTCTTTGAGACAATAAGATCAGCTGTGGCAGCGATGTCGAACCGAGTTTACACAAAAACAGGAGACTGTGACCACATGGGGGGTGAAGTATCATTTGGATGTAACCACTTCGCCCCATGATAACGACTGTCAATGGGTCACAGCTAAGCTAGGCCTCTCCCAACTCACATTTGTATACCGGAATTACCAATTGGACAAACATGTGTTTGTCAATGTAATCGACGACGTTACTTATTTTCGATATGGGTCGTTTTCGAGATTATCAGTATTTCTTGAATCAGATCATAGTCAATCTAGGTAGTTTTAGGTAATAGTAGTATGATGGCAATAATGGGTTAGAAGCACTATGGGGGTGCTGATGAAACCTAGGCGAGGTGAGAACTGAGGTCCAGCAGATTATGGATGGGATGATTGCGTTTCTTTATGCAAGGCTAACTGTAATCGTAAGGCTTACTCATATCATTGTTAGAAAATTCGACTATTAGTCCCTAAATAACTTTTTTTTTCTTGTCCGTTCATCTTTTGTGAGGTACCTAATTTTCAATGGGGCAAACGAAAACATGTGAATAGCTTGCTTGCAAAGGCCTTCAACACCGTGGTTGCGTATTTGTGAACGCAGCAGATATACGAAAACAGAGTTTATTACTTTAAAATCCTATTAAAACTGATAACTGAACCTTTCACCATGGAAAAAAAGATAAGGCCTCAAGATTCCCGTAAACTCATATAATGTATGAGGAGATGTATTCACCCTATTTCGTGTAAGGTGATGAAGGACTGGTAGTAGAATTTTCCTACAATGATATGAAATGTATTCACCCTATTTCGTCTAAGGTGATAAAGGACTGGTAGTAGAATTTTCCCACAATGATATGAGTTGAGCTGACGGTTTCATTAAATTTCACATAGTCTTGCTTTCCCAAAAAGTTGTTCTCATCCAGGCTGAAGTGGACTGCAGTTTCGACCTGGTAGTAGAAACCCTACTCACATTCGAATATAAGTAACGTTGTCGATTGCAATAGCAAACATACGTTTGCTTCATCGGCACTCCCACCAAAAGA